AGTAGCGGCCGGAAGTTTGGAAACTACATATAGATCAAGTATAGTCAGATATCAAAGAACCAGATTAGTCCCCCGTCAACCGCCGGGACCTTCCTTTCCTGCGCAAGCTTTCTATCCTCCGCTATGGTCCCTTCCTCCTGTGACACCAACACCTGGAAGTGACGCGTATGCAACACAATGGTGTTTCATACAGTAGAAGGGACACAATCATGATATGACGGTAGATTTTTCGCTTCCCTTCCTCATCCTCCCTTCCTCTCTCCACTGCCCTCCAGCTGCCACTGCAGCACCATGTGGAATGAACGGAAGTGTGCTAAGCAGGTGTTTATATAGCCCTAAGAGTGTTATCACAACTATGCTACAAAACATTGATATCTCAAATCCTGTAAGCTACCCGATTTGTTAGCGGTTTGTTTATCCCATGAGCTTCCTTCTCACTCACTTCATTTTGCGGACGGACACACATACATACACACACACACACACACACACACACACACAGATACACAAACCGACACACAAAGTTAGCGCTTTATATAATAGAAGGATTAGGAACAATGGTTCTAGGTATTCAATGCAAAACAAACATGGGATTTCAAATTTCGTTTGACAAAGTGCTGCTGCTGGCTTGTATGGGATCACCAGCGATTCGTTTCGGTGAGCAGCTACAGTACAGCATTTGCTGACAGCTAGTTGGAGAATGTTCTTCAACCCTGGTGACAACTGGTCTGATACCATAGCCACTATTTAGGATCTGATAAACGAGTTTGTGGGCGACACTGCAGCAGACCTTGTTACGTTTATACCTTATACAGTTATCATCGACTTTGATGTTTCGGATAGTTTCGAGGTTAGATTTGAAATTTCTTTTTACAAAGATATGTTCGCGTTTGTTAACTTCCTTTGATTTTCATTCGAGGCTGTCTGGTCGCACCCGCCTGGCACGTTTAGCGGATTTGTTGCAATTCGGCGTGGGTTAAGCTGGAATAATCACCATCATTAAAATTGCTATTTAGGCTATTTTATTGCTGAATGAATCTAACTGGGTGGACCCGTCTGAGAAAAATCCGGAAAATGTAGAGGCTTCCATTGTTGGAAGTCATTTCAATATATGTGAGTTTGTTCTCTTGAAAGTCATGATTGCACTGATTTTGGCACGCCCAGTGGTTGATACTGAGCGTAAGAATAAATAAATAAATAAATAAATAAATAAATTCTCAGGGCCCTGCTAAAGCTCAAATATTTACTCTGTGATTGTTTTTGAGAAATATTGAGTATTCCGATTCTGTGCAACGTTTTCATTAGCCTTTTGCAGCTTTCACTATGCCGTTCGAGGATTTCTTACCGGAACTTGTCTCAACTACATATACCCTTCGCTTGGAAAACTCACTAGCGTTGCGTCTGCAGTTATCCTTGCAGCGAAGGGCACAGCACCTAGACATGCCAGCCCTTGGCACGTGTCTCCCTACACACACATGTAGCACCCTCCAATCACCTCATGCGAAGGCGTTATCAAAAAATTACGGGTGAAAGCGAAGTGTATTCGTTAATGTACACCGCCTAGCGTTCACTCTCATGGGTTGAAAAAGGCTTTATGAAATGGAGTGAGGGTAAGTTCCTTTCTGATTACTCCCATCTGAAAATTACCCACAATGAAGGGGGTGTATTGAAAAAGTACTCCATCATTGGTATTATTCCTAACCTCGCATTGTAACTGTTTAGGAAGAATGGCATGAGATTTGGCGTACAGAAAGCATAATCTGCACAATTGACTACACATATCATCCTACTGTGCCACGAATTGCATCGGATTTGCCATTACATGTACTGCAGGAATTTTTGCCAAAGCCAGCGTAATAACTTCGTAAGATGCACGTGGAGTTTGCAAGGTAGTATTGGAGCGCGCTCTGAGACAATTTGGCTGATCCTCTCTTTTTGTTTTTCTGGTCATGTCGATTTGCTAAAGAATGTGTGTAATATTTGACAAGTATTTCTCTAGAGCACATAGCATAGTCGATGAAAATCTGGACGAGAAATCTCGGCTCTCGCGCATTGGTGCGCGTCGGACAATTCGAAACAGTTGATTGTTCACTGGATCGGTTTATGCAAGTAGTGGTGTATGAAGAAAATCTACTGGGTTAGACTATTGCTGAGGCGCACTTAACTGCGACTGCATAGCTCTCGTAAAAAAATTACTTTCGAATCGCGCAGATCTCTACCGTCTGAATGCGTATCACACGCTAGCCGGCCTGGGAAGGAGGTCGATCGTGTCAGAGGCGGGTCCACACTATGTCACCGTGCACGTGCACGTCAGAGATTGGTGTCCAGCCAGCTACGCCTTGTCTGTCTGTTAGGCAGCGCAGTCGAGCGTAGGTCGCAATCACCGTTCTCTCGGACCGGTGTCTAGTCAGAAGCGCTTGTCGGCTGTGCTTGGGACGGACCTTTCAAACTTGTCGAAAAAAAATCCCTATCAGGGTCATCTTCTGATTTCTCTGAGAATTTTTTTGAACTCTACATATGCAGATTATCTCAGTGGCATAACGCACTCTCTCATGAGTTCTTCCATGTTATCTTTAAAGTTGGCTTGCTTGATACCCGCAAGTGAGGTGATTGGAGTCAAGTAATAGGGTGTTGAACGCGGAAGCGACTGGACATTCAAAAAAGCGGAGTTTGTGGGTTTCTAACGCTTCTACTTCAACGCATTTCCTTTTCTCCTGGCTCATATTTTTACTAGGGCTTGAGCTCTAGAGCGGTTTTGGGGAACAGGCTTTTCAAGAAGTGAGCTTTTCTAGAACGAATGACGGAGTGAAATTTGGTCAATTTCAGATGACTGATGTCACTCATCCGGAAGCGGTGGCAATGACACGCTCCATTTACAATCGAGTACCTCCGAATGCTCCTGTAGAAGCATACAGGCCGATGGAGGTGTTGGTGGATTTCAGAGTATTCAACATCAGAGCTCACTGCCTGACTTACGCATCGTTTTCGGAGGAGAAGAGTTAGTTGATTCCATTGCTAACGTTCGATAATCACGAACTCTTGATCCGCTTTTCGTATTCCGAAATAGGATTGTCATTTCATGTAGCCCTTATTCTATTACAAGCCTTCACCCTTATTTCCCGCACACTTGAACACCTCTCTTCTTTCAAAAACACTCATATTTTTCCTTATGCACAGTTGGAAACCCAACAGTCATCTACTTTACCCTTTCTAAGCAAATCGTCCTCATTTCAGGTTTTTGCCCCGTTCTTTATACGGAAGAGATCGCTGTGGTGATAAAGAAGGGTTTCAAGGAGACCATAATACAAGTAGGTTGCATTTACCGAAATTCACTCTTACAAATGACTATGTTTTTTATTCATTTCGAAGGAAGGTAATTACCCATCAAAAAGGGTAAGACTGTTTCGCGGATATCGGCGGGGTCCGCTTCGCAGGATCCTGCCTACTTTTTCAAGATGACTTCTGCCAGCAGACTGTCTCTGAATGGTTTTTTCCAAATTCTTCGTTTTCGGTCGGCGTTGGTCCGTGTGCAGCGTATTTCGAAGCGTGCGGCATCGACGCAGAACGACGGCTACTTGACGCTGTCGGGGTTGCAGTTCAGGTATATTGGTACCTGCTTGTTGCTTATTTATAAACTTTGAAGTTATGTAAAAAAAACCTACTTCCAGAGGACATGCAATGTTCTCGTCAGTCGACTGCCCATGGGACATGGCTGTAGTTGAGTACTGCTGGCTTACAGAGATTTTAGTTGGTGAGGTCGGCGGGTGCTTTGGCAGTCCATCACAGGTCAGAATTAACAAGTTTTCTTGTTTTGTTTGCGTTACTTTTGTCTTCATAAGCATAACAAAGTCTTCTTGGCTTTTTTTGCCCTGCCTCTTATTTCAGCATTTATAACCATTATGACATTGTGATGTTTTGTTTTTCGATATCTCTACCGAATAAGTTTTTCAGATTATCACATTGGTGAACTTTCTGGATACATTGCTGTTACTTGTCATTGCGAAGGATGACGCAAAAATCGTCCCAGACAGGTTCAAGTTTTGTCAGCATGGGCAAACAAGTACAGTGTGCTCAGTAGGATCCCAGCCTGGTCGTCCATGCGAGTCGGAA